GACTCTCTGACACCAAGATTCACCTTCCCCCACAATCTGCCCCAAATGTCCTTGGCCCCTTGTTAGTTACACCATGACCTGCCCAAGGCACATGGCCCCTCCTTTAAAAGCCCATGATCTCTTTTAGTAGAAGAGACGGGGAGACAGATTTGAGGCAGCTTCTCCCATTCTCCCGACAGGACTTCTTTTGTACTAAAAATTCCTTTCTTCCTTGGCAATCCTCATCAATAATTGGATCTTTGTGTGACAAGCAACTTGGTCTAGGCCAGAAACTCCCTTGCCGTTGCAGGCAATCATTACTATTGTGACCTGTATGTCAGAGATGTCATCTATAGGGAAGCTGAAGGGAGTCTTTAAAAAAAAAAATCTAAAAGCAAGCCAAGCAGGTTGAAGTTTGACAAGCCTAGTGAGGTTTGCCCTCAGCTTCATTACCTTGCAACAAAAAAGTGATTATGTTAAAGATCTTGAGATGGAGAGATTATCCCAGATTATCTGGGCTGGCTGAAATGTAATTATAAGTGTCCTTATCAGATTAAGGCAGAGGATATTTGACACAGACAGAAGAGAAGAAGGCAATGTGACTGCTATGGTTTGAATGTCCCACCAAAACTCATGCTGAAATTTACTTGCCATTGTAACAGTGTTGAGAGATGGGGCCTTTAGGAGGTGATTAGGTCATGAGGGTTCTGCCCTCAGACTAATACAGAAAATCGGTACTGAGAAGTGGGGTTGTTGTTATAACAAATACTTGAAAATGCGGAAGCAGCTTTGGAACTGGGTAATGGGTAAAAACTGGATGAATTTGGAGGAGCAGGCTAGAAAAAGGCTGTATTGCATTAAGGGTGATTCTGGTTAGGGCTTAGAAGAAGATCCCAGAACTAAGGAGAGCCTAAATCTTCTTAGAGATTAGGTTATTAGATTATTATTCCGGTTGAGACCGGAATGTTAGTAGAAATCTGGATGGTAAAGGCCATTCTGATGGTATCTCAGATGGAAATGAGGAACAAGGTATTGGAAACTAAAGTAAAGGCCACCCTTGTTATTAATATAAAGTAGCAAAGACTTTGGTTGAATTGTGTCCATGCTGAGGGCTTTATGGGATGCACAACTTAAGAGTGATGGACTAGAATATTAGTAGGAGAAATATCTAAGCAGCAAAGCATTCAGTCTGCTGCATGGTTATTTTTAACTGCATAAAGTGGGATGCAAGTGCAAAGAAATACTTAAAGACAGAATTTATTATGAAAAGGGAAACAGAGTAGAAAGATTTGGAAAATTCACAGCCTGTCCATGTAAAGAGTGAAAGAGCATATTTGGGAGAGAATACTAAGGGTGTGGCCAAGTGACCATTTGCTAAACAAATTACCATGGATAGAGGGAGCCACATGCTATTCATAAAAACAATGGGAGAAAGACCTAGAAGGCATTTCAAAGATCTTCCAGGCTGCCTCTGCCATCACAGTCCTAGAGCTCTCTAGGAAGGCAGAATGGTTTCGGTGGATGTGTCCAGGGCACCCTCTGCGGGCTCACTTCCTGGGGCCACCTCAGGGCTCTGCTCCCTGCATTCTGGCACAGCACTTCCTAGCCACCCTATGGCTCAAGCAGGTCCATGTGCAGCTTGACCTGAAAGGTATAAGTGGTAAGCCTTGGAAGCATCCATGTGATGTTAAGTCTGCAGGCCTGCAGAATGCAAGATCTGTGGGGCCATGGCAGCCTCCACCTAGATTTCAAAGAATGCTGTGGATCTCCTGGAGGCCCAGATAGAAACTTGCCACAAGGGAGGAGCCATCACAGAGAGTGCCCACTAGAGCAATGCCTAGTGTAGCTATGGAGGCAGGACTGCCATTGAGACCCCAGAACTATAGAGGTAACGGCATGCAATGCCAGCCTTCCAAAAGAGTTGAAGCATGGGCTGAGCCCAGAAAAGCCATGGGAGTGAGGATACCCAAGGCCTTGGGTACCAACCTCTACCCCAGGATGTTCAGGAGGTAGCATATGCAGTGAAAGATTATTCTGGAGTCTTAAGATTTAGTGTTTCCCCTATTGGGTTTTAGACTTACCTGGGACCATTAACTCTTTTTTTTTGCTTGCTTATTTCTCCCTTTTGGAATGGGAATGTCTATCCTATGCCAGTCCCATCATTGTATTTTGAAAGTAGATAACTTGTTTTCATTCAGAAGCTCACAGCTAAAGGGATTTGCCTTGGGATAAATCATGCTCTGTGAGATCTGGAGTCTCACCTGTGTTTGATTTAGATGAGACTATGGAGTTTGGACATTTGAGTTGGTGCTAGAATGAGTTAAGGCTTTTAGGGCTTTCGGCATGGAATTAATGTATTTTGTGTGTGCAAGGACATGAGTTTGGGGGTACAGGGGCAGAATGTCCCCATCAAAACCCATGTTGAAATTTAATTGTCATTGTAACAGTGTTCAGAGGTGAGGCCTTTAGAAGGTGATTAATACCATTATTGTGAGAATGGGTTTGTTATCATAAGACTAGATTTGTTATAAAGGGGGTTCAGCCCAATTTCCTCTCTCTGTCTTGTGTGCTTACTTCTGCCTTCCACCCTTTTACCCTGGGATGACCCCACCAGATGCCGGCACCATGCTCTTAGACTTCCCAACCTCCAGAATCATGAGCCAAATAAACTTCTATTCTTTATAAATTACCCAGACTATGGTATTCTGTTATAGTAGCAGAAAGCAGACTACTTATTCCTAATGGAGACAGAGATTGGAGTGATGCAGCCACAAGCCTAGACATGCTGACAGTCACCAGAAGCTGGAAAAAACAAGGAACAGATTCTCTCCTAGAGCCTCCAAAGGAATACAGTCCTGCTTATACCTTGATTTCAGCCCTATGAAACTGATTTTAGATTTATAGCCTCCATAATTGTGAGAGAATAAATTTCTGTTGTTTATGCCACAAAGTTTATGGTAATTTTTTATAGCAGCCAGAGGAAATTGAGGGTGATCGTAGGGAGTTATGTAAATTTATGTTAAAGATCCTTTGTAGTTTTAAGATGCATTCATTCATTCAACCAACCAACAAATAGTTGAGGCAGTATAGAAGAATAATTAAAACACAGACTTTGGACTCAATTCATCTTGGGGGTGAATCCCAGCTCTGTCACCCACTGAGTGTGACCTTGAGCAGGTTGCTTAATTCTCTGACCCTTGGTCTCAACATCTGCACAATGAGGATGATAACAGTACTTAACTCAAGGGAAAGTTGTGAAAATTAAATGAGAATATGCACATAAAGGGCTTTGTGCTGGGTGAAAGGGCCATTGCCCTGTCCCTGCCCTAAGAGAGTTCTCTGTCATTCTGGGAGGATCAGGGCTGTAGATGGAAAGCCCCAGGGGCAATGAGGACCCATTGGAAGCACTGGGGATGGGAGTAGGGGAGACTTTCTAGAGGAACCGACTCGTGAGCCTCCTGAGGGACACAGTAAGCCCTAATTATATACTCTTTTTAATACTATTGTTATAAATATTATTAGTATCAAGGGATAAGATGAATTTCTGGTTCTTGGGTCTTCCTGAAAAAACACATATAAAAGTGCTTTTTTAAGTTTAAAGTTCTTAAGTTACTACCGAGTTCCTAGAAAAGAGCCCATATCTGATGGGAAGGATTTGAGATGGCAACCGGCCACACAGACATACCATTTATTAAAACTAAACAACAAATGTGCAGCAGAGGGTAGGAAGAATGGAAAGGGAAAATCTGAGCATGCATACTGACAGGCACATAAACAGGCCTATGAACCAGGAGTAGCCAATGCCAGAGGAGGACAACTTGCTTCTGGCGGGAAAATCAGTCTCCGCCCCCTTTGAGAACATCCTGTCCGTGGAGCCTGGACCGAGTAGACCCCATATTTGCTTCACTTGCCCCGCCCACTTTCCTGACTTCTGATTGGCTAGTTCACTAACTTCCCTGATTGGTCCAGCGTCCTGTGGCAGTTGAAGTGCCGAACTTCATCTTGTCGAGGGACTCTTCGTCGCCGCTTCACCACTGAGGTAAGTTCTCTCTGAGGAACACCGTGAATGTATTAAGGAGGGCAGATAGAAAAGTTGGGGGCCTCTGTAGAGCACTCAAGTGTTTGGGCTTTTGCTGTACCTCCCTAGATCCTCAAGATGCTTAGGACTGAGCAACAACTAAAGCCTTTCAGGGCAATGCCGGTTGAGGGGAGATAAAACAAACTGGTCTAGTGAGACTCCCTAATGACTATTCCTGAGGGAAGCAAAATTTGCCTTAGCCTGAGAAACCCCCAGATCAGCCAGACGACCCTAAATTTCCTCAACCAGAGATAACGGCAAATAGCCTCTGCCTAAGGGACTGCTTTATTGCCTCCTCTGGGGCGAAGCAGCAATCTTCTTGGTTCCAGAGATTCCTAAATGTCCTCTCCTGAAGAGATTTTCAATGCCTTCAGTTTGGGGAGCACCAGATTGCTGTTTCTTAAAACGCCCCACATTCTCTGTCTGAGTGATGTCTGGTCCTGTAGTTTCAGAGATTTGAGCTCTCTTCACTCTAGTAATTTACAAATAACCCATAATAGCCTCTAAATACACTCATTAGCCATACCCATTTCTCTTAAGCAGAGCAAAGTCCCACATCCCTCCGCCTGATGACACAAACTCATCAATTAGAGAGACCATATGATCGTTAGCACTCACCTCCTCCCCTTTATCTCAGAACAGCCCCTACTCAATAAAATTACACACTGCTTCCCCAGCAAGGGTCTTTATATCTTTCCTTCGGGATAAGCCAAGCTCCAGGGGTACTACTAACAACAGTAACTGACCCCCTCTTAAAGATTCAAGACTGCTTTCTCATGCCCACAGAAAACCTGTCATCCCTAGTCAATAATACTTCTACCAGAGACCCCTGGCCCCCTCCCATGTCCTTACTCAGAGATAGATAAGTCCAGGATGGAGAGATGTAGTACCTAATTCCAGGTAACTGAATGTGGCCATCCCTCAATCATTTCTCCCTCCATAGGACCTTTGGTCTTGTAACTGGACTGACTCAAGCTGTGTCTCTTGCAGATCAGAGTGCTCCCAGTGCCATGAACAGAGGCTATTCCTTTGCAAAGCACTCCAGAGGGGATGCTCAGAAATCAGAGAAATGCAAGGTGAGTTGATCTGGAGAGGGCAGAGTAGTGACCCAGAGGACAGTGTGTGGTGTCCAGATTTCTTAGGAGGTGGGGACTAGGTACTGGGAACAAGGGGCAGGGTCTTGGGGGAGATCTGGAGCCTTGAGAGCTTGCCACTCTCACTTTGTCTTCACCTAGCATCCCCAAAGACAACAGATCTGTGACCTTGCACTACATTTGGTGACTCTCAGTCCATTCTAGAAGGTGGGAGGAGAGCAAACTAGCAGGATTAAGCATCTACTGCGTGCCAGGGGGGAGGCTAGGGAATGTCACCCGTGTTCTCTCAGCCACGACATCACCCAGGAGGGATTATTATCCCCAGTTCCCAGATCCAGCTCAGAGGAAGCAGCCCCAACAGACACGTCTCGCTGAGTCGCTGCCAGAATTTATTTTTCTTTCTTTTCTAGACCTTCAAGGATATTTCCAAATACTTCTCTAAGGAAGAGTGGGCAAAGCTGGGATACTCACAGAAGACCACCTATGTGTATATGAAGAAAAACTATGACACCATGACTCGTCTAGGTAACAGAAAGCCCTGGGTACATATGAGCATCCCTCAGTCCCTTTACATGCTCTGGCTACTTCTTAGGCTGCAGCAAGTGCCCAACGCTTTCCTTTTGTGCAGGGGTAAAATTCCAAGGCAGTTTCTGGGCATTCTGCTCTTCTATATCCAGCGCAGGGCTGAGGACAAGGACAGGCCACAGATCTGGACGCTGCATGTTTCTCTCCTCTAGGCCTGTGTTCTGATGAGCCCTGCCATATGTGTGGCATCCCAGCACCCCGCCCCCTGTTCCTCCGCTCAGCTTATCTCTTAAGGAACAAATATTTTACTTCTTTCTAGGATTCAAGACCAGCCCCCCAGATTTCATGAGTTCTAAAAGACGGGCCATAAAATCCCAGGCGCAGGTCAATGTTGGAGCCGCAGGAATCAGTGAGTGGACGGGAAGGGGCAGGGAAGGGACACCTCAAGCCCAGCTGCTTTTCAGTCCAGCTGCCTGGGAAAGATTCTCAGGCGTTTGCTCCCTCACACACGCCAAGGCTCATTGTAAAAAAGTTGGATGCAGAAGGTTAACTACAGAGGCCACTCATATAAAATTTGAAAACATGCAAAATAAGAATATATATTCTTGGCCTGGCGC